TTAAATCGAATCGGGGTGCGGGCTGGTGGGGAGGGCCTGTGGGGTTTTTGATTAATTGCTGTAACACTGTCCTTCAGGTGGCTGAGGAAGTTTCATATTTTCTTTAGACATCATTAAACGCCGAAGCTCTTGCAGAACAACTTTGATGCTATATGAATTCTGCCATTTTGCTAGCACTGATATGGCTCTTGGGTCCACCTACAAAAAAGGCAAACAAAAGCAAATTACTTTTAGCTCTCCGACACGACAGCTACACGCTGGGGTGAAGCCATCGCACAGCCGCATGCGGTACATTTGCCAAGCTGAACGTGCCGACCACAGAAAGGACACACGGTGGCAGAGCACTGCCCGCAGGCCTCCTCCCTCTGGTCAGGCTGTTTTTCCTCTTGTGCGCCCCAAGCTGCAAGAAGGAAGGGGTGACCAGGCCATGGTGAGGCTCAACCCAACCGCCGTGGCTCACAAAGAACGCGCTGCTCCTGGGTGGGCTGTTGCCCTGCCCAGGGCAGTAAGGACAGCAGAGGCCTAGAGGCCTGGGCCTGTGCCATGGTCAGCCTGGCACAGCATTTCCCAAAGCTCAGCAGTGCCCAGGACCTTAGGGGCAGATACAGCACTGCACGGAGAAGACTGGCAACAAGGCGCATCTCTCACCAGTTCCTTTCAAGCCTTCAGTGTCCCAAGGACAAAGGCTGGGCACAGCGCTGATACACGCGGCGTCCCCTCAACACTTGCTGACCTTGCCCTGAGGAAGACAGCGGGCTTCGGGGCGCTACACGCACGGCAGGGACACCTGGGATGGGGTGTAGTGCGGCGGTAAAGAACCTGCCTACTGCGTGCATCTGATCACTAGGACCACCAAAAACAAAACAAATACAAAATCTGGAAAAAATATTTTTTTTTTTTTTATTTTGGCGGAACCAGGGATTGAACTCAGGGCTTTGTGCTTGCCAGGGAAGCACTTATTGCACTGAGCCATCTCCCCAGCCCCAAAAAACTTGTTTTGAGAGAGGGTCTTGCTGTGTAGTCCAGGCTGGCCTTCAACTGGCCGCAATGCTTCTGCCTGAGCTTCCTGAGTGCTGGGATTATAGAGATGTACCACTACACCTGGGGAACCTGAAATTCTTTGAGTCATGTTGCTGTTCAAAAATTTTTAGGACCAGGGAGATGGCTCAGTAGAATAAGCGCTTCCCTGACAAGCGAAAGGGCCTGAGTTCAAGTCCTGGTTCCGGAAAAAAAAAAAAAAAAATTAGTGTTTGGGATTAGAGATATTCAGCCTGAAAAAAATGAGTTTAAAAAACAAGGCCAATAAAAGGAATTTAAAGAAAAGGTTAAGGGAGATGGCTCAGTGGAATAAGTGCTTCCCTGGCAAGTGCAAGGGCCTGAGTTCAATCCCTGGTTCCACAAAAAAAAAAAGGATATAAGAGATTTTAGGGCCGGGGAGATAGCTCAGTAGAATAAGCACCTGCCTGGCAAGTGCAAGGTCCTGAGTTCAATCCCTGGTACCGCAAAAATAAAAAACAAAAAAAATAAAGAAAAGGTTAAGGCCCAGGAGGTAGAGGTGCAGGGGAGACCTTTGATTTCTGCGCGTTGGTGTCCTCATGGGGCTGTCACAGGGACTGAATGAGCTCCTGAAGTGTCCAGTGTAGAGCGGGGCAGAGGGAGTACAACATGAATGGTGGGTCACCCACAAGTGCAGATGCCACTGCACCCGGGGCGGGAGGAGGGCCTGGCCCCAAGGCCCTGATGTTAAGCACAAAGAACTCAACCCAGAGGAGTGAGCAAGGGCAAAAGAAGCAACTTACCACTCCATTAGAACTATTAACTCCATTCATATTAATTTTTGTTACAAATCTTACAAAGGGGGGTGCTTCTGGGTATTTAGGTCCACATTCTATTTTAAGGCTGTATATTCGGTTTTCATAAATTGTCTGGAAAAAAAAAAGGGTACAGAGATGTCAGGCAATTACAAACAAGAAGAGAGAACTCATGACACCCATCTACTCCTGACGAGCTGGTATCCTGCTGCTAGAGCCACTGGGCCCTGCTTCTACCCTGGCTTACACGGATTCTGGGCACCAGGGGAATAAAGCATAGCACGACACTTAAGTGCTGCCAACGCTCTCTCTCTCTCTCTCTCTCTCTCTCTCTCTCCCCCTTCCTCCCTCCCTTCCCTCCCCCTCTCTAGTGTATTTGGCACAAGGTCTCACTATGCAGCTTGGACCTGTAGTGGTCCTCCTGTTTTCAACCTCCCCAGTGCTGGGATTACAGGCATGCGCCATCACGCCCATAGTCACTGGACTCAGCATGACTGGGGAGATGGGGCCGGCCCGGCAGGTGGTGCTGGGGATCAAACCCAGGTCCCAGTGCTTGCCTAAGCAGGTGCTTAGTGCACTGAGCTATCTTGCTGGCCCCGCTGCCAACATTTTAAACTGGCATTATGAAGTCCAACTGGAGACACTAGCGTGGGCTTTTCCGTTCTCCTGCTCCCAGGAGATGGTAGGAGGCGTTCTTCTGCACAGGAAGCCACAGCAAGTGTCCACTCTCTCAGGAGCAGCAAGTGTGCAGGAGGCGGGGCCAGGCCGCACTGCCTAAAGGCTCCACCGGAATGTGCACCCCTTGTGGCTTTTCTTTTCTTGCTAATTATGATGACCTAAGAGCCTGCTGGCATTTAGTGGGACCTGCACAAGAAAAGGCAGTCCTTCAAATGCCATCCTGGGGGCTTGACAGTTAGCTCAGTTGTTTAAAGCGCTTGCTTGGGCAAACTCAGTCTGGCAAGGTTCGTTTGATCCCCAGCTCCACCTGCTGCACCAGACCCCACCCTCCTTTAAGGCAGCCTGAGCCAGCAAAAAGAAAAAAAGTCAACTCTGCCTTTGTGGAAAAACAGGTCAATCCCCTACACCTGTGGCCTTTCCCTTTTTTTTTTTTTTTTTTTTGCGGAACTGGAGATTGAACTCAGGCCCTTGCGCTTGCCAGGGAAGCGCTTATTCCACTGAGCCATCTCCCCGGCCCCTTGGCCTTTCCATTGGAATGCCCAGTTAAAGTGGCACCTGGTCCCTAACTTTCTGAAGATCACAATGCAGGGCACTCTCTCCATGACAGACAGCTGCCCTCTGAGGGTAGGGACCAGCCTCCTGTGAGTCTCCCCCTTTAAGGCAGCAGTGGCCCTTTCTCAGTAAGCGTTTTTTTTTTTTTTTTTAATGCTACACAAGGAGTGGCTGCTGCTTCAGCAGCGACATCTAGTGGTACTGGGGTGGAGTTCAGCCCACTGGGATGTCATTACCCTCTAGAGCAGGACAAAAGTGATCCACTACTGATAAAAAGTGAGAACATATTTTAAGATTCACAAGTTGTTAGAATCTTAGTCATCTTCCAAGTTTGAAAAACTGAAATTCAAATCTGGGTCTCTACCTCCACTCAGCCTCAACCTGCTCTTCTCTCTTCCCCAGAAGCAGCACCACCACCTCCTACCCAGTGGGTTCTGCAAAAACCCAGCAGCAGCCTCTAGTCCCTTTTCTCTTCTGCCACCTTTCAACTATCAGCAAGAACCTACTGTTTCGACCTCTAAGAGACCTCACAGCTCCCACTAACTCCACACCATCACCTCAGATGGCCGCCTGCCACCTGCTTCTCTGTGCCCGCTGCTAGCTGCACCCCTGGCCTCTTCTCTTTATATCTCCCCTCTTCCTTTCCAACACACCAAGTTCTCTCCACCTTGAGACCCCTCCAGATCCCATCACAAGAGACGCCCCCTCCGAAGTCTGGATCCCCTGAGCTCCCTGAACTCAGCGAGGAGCAGGTATTCAGCAGCCTGTACTCAAGTGTGTGGTGGATGAATGAATGCTACTCTTTGCACCTTTATAAATGAACACTATCTTTCAACTATCTTAAGGTATTTCCTCTAAGGAAAAGAAAATCCCTCAGAAAACAGCAAGTAGGAAGCCAACAAGGACATAGCTGACATAGTAATGCATGCAAATTGTAATAGCTGCATCCTCAGTACCCGGTACCGGGCCCACCAGAACCACCTACTCAAGGAACCACTGACCAAGCGGGTCCAGGGCCAGCCCTCTACCCTCTGCCCGCACTCACATTCCCATGTTTTGATTACACCATTTAAAGATGAAATTTCTTTCTTTTCTTTCTTTTTTTTTTGGCGGAACTGGGGACTGAACTCATGCCCTTGCGCTTGCCAGGGAAGAGCTTATTCCACTGAGCCATCTCCCCGGCCCCTTAAAGATGAAATTTCTTACATAAGAAGAGGTTTTTTTTTTTTTTTTTTTTTGTGGGGGAGGGCATGGGCTTGTGGTAATTACCGAAGCCAGCGTTCTTAAAATTCATTTTTCTTGACGCTGGGATAGAACTCAGCCTCATGCATGCTAAGCTACATAGCTGCTGTGAGCTCCACCTCCAGTCCCTGAAATCCTTCATTAATGCATCCTGGAGGCTTGGATACAGCGAGGCAGGCATCTGTCTGCTCGCCTCGGGCTATCAGTGCTGCTCAGACTGCACTCCTCCTCCTGTCTCCAGTGGCTAAGAGGGCGGGCAGCTTAGCAACAGGGCTCTGGTTCATGCACAGATCAGATTTTAACACTATGCTCAACACTATCAAGTCAGAGAATCATTAAAATCTCAAGCGAGGGCCGGCCAGATAGCTCAGTGGGGGTGGGCAGACGCAGGGACCGGGGCTCGATACCCAGCATGCCGTGCCGGCCCTGCCCCCGGGGCACACTGAGACAGCGATTGAGACAGGGTATGGTAGTGCGTGCCTGAAATCCTGGTGCTTGGGAGGTTGAAAACAGGAGGATCACTACAAGTCCGATCTGTGCAGTGAGACCCTATAGACCCTGCACTAAATGCATTAAAAAAAAAAATAAATTATATATAAGCAAGAGTTTTTAGTAGAAAACATGATTTTGGATGTTCTTGTTTTATTTCATTCACAACTGCTCTAGACCTGCTGAAAGGTTTCATCCAAGAAAGAAAATGCCTGACAGAGAACGGCAGGAGCATTCTGTTTATGGCAGGAAAACTGCTCTTGATTAACTGGCTCAACATGATGGGAATGCTAATTATCCCAATTTGATCATTACATAATTTGAGCAGCTGATCATCATGCACATATCTAAACTGTACAGAAAACCATAAATATGTACAAGTATTGCACAACAATAAAACACAGGGCAGAGTTTAGTGGTGGAGCTCTTGCCTAACATATGCGAAGCTCTGGGTTCCAGCTCCCCTAGCAAGCACAAGGGTCTGAGTTCAATCCCCGGTTCTGCCAAAAAAAAAAAAAAAAAAAAAAAAAAAAAAAAAGAAAAAGAAAAAAATTCATTATTCAATCATAAAATGAATACTTTCCACTTACATGAAATGCCTTAAATGTCACGGGGCAATTTGGCAGTGCCACCCAAATGTGACACAGGCACCCTCAGACCAAATTCTATTTTTTGGCATAGGATCTCATGGTGTTTTCTAGCCTGGCCTTAAACTCATGATCCCCTTGGTCTGCCTCCTGAATAGTTGATTATATATACAGGAATTGAACTCGAGACCTCACACTTGCCAGGCAGGCTCTGTGCCACTGAGCTATGTCCCCAGCCCACAAATCCATGTCTAGTCATTTCCTACAGATGGTCTCCTACTCGTGCACAGAACTGCACTGCCTGCAATAGATAAAGAACCACAAACGCCTAACTGCAGAAGACTGACTCTGTGCTCATGGTGCACACGTGGCAGACTGCTAGGACAGCAGGACGTACACACAGCCGGAGACCAGCACCTCCCTCCAGCTAGGGCCATAGGCCCAGAGCCTGGGGATTATAAGATTTTCCTGAGCCTAAAATATGTACCTCAAGATAACCCAGCCTAACCACTAAAAACCAGCAGTAGAGACAAAATACCTGACCAGTACTCCCCTAAACCATTAAGGGCATCAACACAAGAAAAATCTGCGAAATTGGCAAGGCCACGAGAAGCTTGAGATGTGATGGCTAAATGTAATGCTAGATCTTGCATAGGATTCTAGAACAAACAATAGACATGAGGTAAAAACAAAGAGCATGTAAAGTATGTCCTTTAGTTAATAATAATTATTGAAATTGGTTCACTATGGCAAGTGCAAGGGTCTGAGTTCAATCCCCGGTTCCGCAAAAAAAAAAAAAAAAAAAGAAATTGGTTCACTAGTCATGACAAACATACCGCACTGAAGGTAAGATGCTAACACAGGAAATGGGGTAGGGAATGGTGGTACATAGAAAACTTTCTGTACCACCTTCACAACTCTTCTGTAAACCTACAAGCAAGTGTCTGCTACAAAAAATAAAAGAAAATTAAATACACAAAAAGGTAATACAGGTCAACCAGTTAACTGCTACTCATTTTTTTTTTTTTTCTGTATCTCGTACAAGGTCTCACTACACAGCTTGGACTTGAAATGATTCTCCTGCTTTCAGCCCACCCACTACTGGGACTACAGGTGTGTGCCACTATGCCTGGTCTCAGTGGCCCTGGGTCAGTGCGCCTGGGGACAGGGCTGGCATGACCTGTGGTGCTGAGGATTGAACCCTCGTCCTGCACTTGCCTAAGCAGGTGCTTAGTTCGCTGAGCTATTTTGCCAGCCCTGCTAATCAATTCTTAACAGTCCTTTTATTTGTTTTTCCTTTTGGCTTTTTTAAGAAGGTCTTACTATATAACAGCCCAGGCTGGCCTAGAATTTGCCACAACCCTCCTGTCTCAGTCTGAGAGTGCTGGGATTACAGGTATGTACCATTGTACCCCACAACCAAACTTATCAAATTCAAATCTTATGTCATAATACCTAAATTATCTTAGTGTGTATATGCAAAATCTCAGCCTATTGTATGTTAAGCAGGTACTCTACCATTGAGCCACATCTCCAGCCCTCTAAATGACATTCACTGCTCCTACG